TATATATATATATATATATATATATATGCGGACAATTTATGCAAAATTAAATGCACAGAATGCACAGAAATCTGCTTATAAACCACATTAATTTCCAGAGGGGAAAAGGTGCTTTTGAATTAACTATGGGTTACTGAGTCTGGTCGCTACAACAATCTTTTTTGTTTCATTAATCTGGAGCAGACAGCCACACAGCACCAGCGTCTCCAGTCCACCCCCTATCGCTGTAAAATCCATGTGACTGCCACACTCATCCCCACCAGGCCAAGAGCACACCATAAATGAGTTGCTTACTGCCATCTTGTGGAGCCAGAAGTGAGTTTTGTTTTTGTTTTTTTCTCCCCACAACAGTCATATGTGCAAGCTTTGATCAGTAAAAAACATTCTTCATCCTGGAGGAACTTGGCTGATAACATTAGTAAGTTTAAGCACTTCAATGAGCTTTATTAGTGTACCTACATGCTGATAACCACTTAATCCAAAGATTCATGTGAACGTCATCCTTGACTTTCACATCAAGTCATAAATGCACTTTACATGCCCTTTCAGAAACAACTCGCTCATGTTCGATAACTAGCAGTTTTTACCATTTCCTGGATATTGCAGTGAGTAACTCTGAATCAGAAATGAAAGGAAAACAAATAATTACACTTAAGGTTTATTCATTGCTGAAATATAATCAACTACTGACTTCTCAGTAAATAATGTGATAGAAATCTACTAAAACTATTATTTTTCTTTAGAAGAAGAAAAAAAACAAGGCTTGACAGGGGTATGAACATTTCATATGTGTGAATAAAGTGACAAGATGTATTTTGAACTTATTTTTCTTTAAAAGAAAAAAAACAAGGCTTAACAGTAAGAATATGATTGCAGCTCAGCAAAAAGTAAAAAGGTAGAAGGGGTAAGTATAAGATTGGCATGAAGACTGATTGGGTTACACACATAAATACATGGAATATTACATTTGTTTCTATCATGATAGGTCCTTGTTTTAACACACGGTGAAGTACTGTAGAAATAATCACTGCTAAAAAGAGCATACAAATAACATGAGATAAACATGTGTTACAGTCCACTTGTTTAACCTGTTTTCAATCTCTTGGTATAAAAGCTAGGAAGATCTCAAATAAATGAAGTAAAGTGAACATCATAAGCAAGGCTTCTTGTAAGTTTTTCGTCATTTTGGCAGGAGAGGGGTCCTTGTAATGCTAATTACCAGCAACGTTGACATTTTATCTATGTGTGATTAAATCACTAGGGAATATAGAGAAACTTTCAAATCAGGTTTACACTACAAACTTCTGGGGATATACTGAATAAACCATCACATACTGTAGGAGTGATTTCACAACCTCAGCAAAAAACTTGACCAGAGAACAAACATGCACTGACAAACTATCAACAAAGGTCTTTGTCCCCGTGTCCCTACTCCTAATAAATGCACTTTACATTTTTAAAAAATCCTCAGAGCCTCTAATTGAACAACAACAAGACAAAATACACAGCAGAGACGTTTATCATACAGCAAGAGGTGTAGCGGGGCTTCTAGTTATGGGTAAGAGATACATTAGCAGGTCATTTCACCTAAACTGCTCTAGTAACTGCACAGTGTCAGCCAAGCATAGTGTCAATGCACTTAAGGGGTTAATTAATGATCCTATGGAAACAGTCACGTCTTTGAAAACACCTTCCAACATAATCTGGAAGAATTTCTGGAGATATTTTATAGGACACTCTACAGTAGTTGTTAACACACTCATTCTAATAGTCAGCAGAGTAGATGCAACAGAGACACGAGGCAAATTTTCCTTAAGGCAGCAGATGCCTTTTCAAGTCCCTTTTTTTTCTCTCACTTCCTATTTTAGAACTGAAACATCCCTCTTGTATGCCACTCTCTTCAGAAACCAGGAAGCTCAGTATCTGTATGGTCCCTGTAGGAATGGCATCTCCTCATGACCCTCACGGGTCTGTCTTTCTCCCGGTCTTTTTGAAAGCTTCAGCCTCTTAGCATCTCCCCTCTGCAGTCCTTTAGCCCTGCGGCGGCAGGACACTTTGTGCCTGTGAAGAAGGGTAGCGTTCCAAAAGCGAGCTGAGCAGCGTCGGCAGGAGAAAGTCCCTCTGGCACGGTGGGAAGCCCGATGAATGAAGACTGCCAAAGGCCTGTAAGACTGCTTCCCACACACACTGCACCTAAGTCGCTCCTGAGTGCTCAAGGCTTTTTGTGGGTGTTTAACTGCCATGTGGACAAGCAGCCCCGCTTTACGGGAAAACACAGAATTGGGGCATATTGGACAGCCAAAACGTTTCACAGGAACTTTGAGAGATGACAGGATCTGCACTTTCATTCCACCAGTGTTGACAAGCTTATATCCACCACCACCTGATCCTCCTCCTCGCCTAATTGTCAAACGAAGAGAGCCTTGTTTTTTATTCAACTGCCCTCTTATTGTACAACTGATCTTTCTCTTTCGTTTGATTTCATCAAATCTGACTAAATCTTGAGATTCCCATTTATTTCCCTTCCAATCTCTCCTGTTGGACTTTTTTTTTTTCTTCTTGTGTCGTCTCATGTCATCGTGTGACGACTGGACGTCGCAGTCGAGGGTTTGGTGGGGCTGGGTGCCTGACTGATGATGGGGATGATGGTGGGAGTGATGATGATGGTGATGCAGATGATGATGTTCAGTGGAGGGCAGTTCCGTGAGGGGCTGGAACGGGGCCGTGGTGTGAAGAGTTCGGCTACGGGATCCAGCTGGATATATGTGTTCTCCTTTAACTCCGGCTGGAGAATGCGGGTGTTGCGGGGGCATGACTGTAGAGTTGGGAGGAAGTGGCTGAGAGTAAGCTGGTGCCGCAGAGGCAGAAGACTGAGTAGCTGCAGCATCATAAAAGAGGGGAGAATAACCAACTGGTGGCTGTGGGGGTGCTTGTTGGTGGCTATGAGTGACAACACTTAGACTTTGCCCTCCGTGGCCTTCGTTGGAAGGTGCCATCTGAAGCAGTGCATTCGTGGCAGCCTCACTCTCAGAGGTTGACTGATTAACATCACTCCCACCTCGGTTGTCTCCAGACCCACTGTTGCTTTCTTGTGGGTTAGACTGTTCAGGGCGGGTCATGCCATGCTGAGACTGCTTGTGTCGAGTGAGGCTGTTAGAGTAAGCAAACGCCTTCCCACACACCTCACAGCAGAAGAGCTTTTCACCCCCACCTTCATGGACCGTCTGGTGATGGGCAGTCAAGTGAAAGTGGTGACGGAACGACTTCCAGCATATAGCGCAGGTGTAGAGTCGAGGTGGCGGCGGGGGCTGTGGTTGGGGTGGGGGAGGAGGCTGCGGCTGGGGGTTGGTGTCTTGAGGCTTGACGTCTTGGGAGTAGGGATAATAGGAGGAGGTGCTTGGTGCTTGGTTCTGGCTCCGGTCTTGGGCCACGCTACATTGAGGATTTGGGTTAAAGCTGTTAAGGTTCTCTGGAGCCGGTGTGGTGGGCACCTCTTCCATCTCCCCTTTCTGGTGGAGTTTACTGTGCCTCCTGAGGCTCTGGGAGTAACCAAACTCTTTCCCACAGATGCTGCATTTGTAATTCTTTGCCCCGGAGTGGACTGTTTGATGCTTGCTGAGGTGGAAAGCTTCTCTGAAATACTTCCCACAAACAGTGCAGTGATGGGGCTTCTCTCCTGTGTGGATGCGATCATGCCTGCGCAGGGTCTCGCGGCGTGCAAATCCCTTACCACAGACACTACAGAGGTGAGTGCGTGGGAGCCCACTGGGGCCCATTCTGGGGGTGTACTGCCTACGTTTGGGGGGCTGTCCGCCAGCTGCAGGATCTTTCTTAGCTCTTGGTTTGCGGGGACGTTTTGGTTTGGCAGTAGGATTCTGCGGGTTGCTGGTCATAGCCTCTTGACTCCCACCACCTCTGAAATTCTTATCCATACCAGATGTGGATGAAGGTGAGCCCAGAGGTCCTAAACCAAGACCACCTAGCAGACCTCCTATGATGTCTCCCCTGTCATCCCCTCTATTTCCACTGTTACTAGCTGCTGTTATAGCAGAGATTGCATTATTCACAGAGCTAGTGACATCATCTTCTGAGTCATCCAGTAGAGAAGAGAGGGGCAGGTGGGGCTGTTGCTGCGGATGGTGGTGCTGGTTGTGGGTCTGTGAATGTGGATGCAGTGTTGGCGCCAGGGGTGCCTTTCTCAGAGCTGGGCCCGCCATCCCACTTCCACATGGGGAGGCACCAGAGTAGCATGGAGATGGATTACCTTGAGAACGGTGGTCATCATGGTAGCCTGTGTAACGATTCCGAGAGTAGTCAGTGGGGTATTTACCATCTGCTCTGTCCCTGTCATTTGAATTCCCTCCCCTTCCAGAATGAAACAGACCATCACATCCTAAACCTGATTTTGGTTCTCCTTCCCTCACAATGATTACACCATCCTCTTCCTCAGTTTTCCCATA